TAGCTCTGCATCTCAGTTAGAATATGAAACTGAATATGCTCCTCAATTTCCCAAATAGCTGGCGTTCCTTCTATTACACAGTCCTATCTGCCATATTTTCCTCTTGGGCTTCCAGATATGGACAGCTATGGTATTGCTGGGATACAAACTCACAACCTCCTGATGTTGGGATGAATTATCAGACTACTACATAAAACTACGCCATGCTTTAAAGTTAAAACAACAAATATTTTCTCCAGTGTATTAAACATTTGTAGACACAAAATCTGAGCTGCTTCATGTGTTCCCGAGTGGTACGGTGGACTAAGCCGTCACCCCAACAGGAGGTTATGAGTTTGAGCCCCAGCAATGCAACAGCCATCCATAAGTGCGTACCCAAGAGGAAAAATGTCTAGCAGGATTGTGTGATGGAAAAAGTCCTGGCTCGTGGGGAAGTTGAGTATAAAAAACAAGTTCATTTTATTTACCTCGCTGAACTGCAGATCTAAAAAATTCAGAGAACTTTTGACTCAACTAAGAAGTTTGAGTTCTGTGAACTCTTCAACTCAAGAAAGGCCATGTAATCAGTTACTATATCATTTTGAGCTGAGCTGACCTCTCATTTTTAACAGTGCGCTACAAGCTAAAATATATGATAATGTCTTTTGCAAACTTCAAATGTCCATGTTTATTGTAGAAAGGCCAAAAAGTGGTAATGCTTCATAATAATAGGCCCCAATAAACAGCATCTTAATCATGTGTCATGTGTCTTAATCAATGGTCCTGTTTAACCCCTTAAATGGCCAGGGCCCACCAGCAGGCCCAAAGTTTTATCACACACTTCTATAAACTAAGAACAGCTCAGCCAGTTTGCACTGAAGTCCCTGCAGTTACGGAATAATAAGCCTTAGTGTGTAATAAGCCTGGGATTTAAGGTTAAATAATTGAGTAGCTAATTGATTCTTAATTATAAAGTGGTTAATGTATACTATTTACATATTAATAATCTTTCATTGTACCCCTATTATAAAGTAGTATGTAAGTAATGTTTGTTGCTGTTTATAGGGACCTGTTATTATGAAGTGTTACCAGACATTTTCTGGTGCACCAATGCTAGCTTAGCGCTAACCTACTACCAGAAATCCCATAGAGATGCTAGTGGAAATTAACATTATCATAGAGGTGTTCTTTTTTGAGTATTGACAGCTATGGCCCGAACTGAAGGCCTAACTCTTACAGGCACGGTTCACTACTGGTCTAGACATGCTCTAGATGCAGAGCTAAACTTAAGCATCTGCTAAACAACTGAAATGATATTTTAGTAACACCTTAATTTGCTCCACTGTAGATGCTTTGTAGACGCTCATCTTGTCTAACTTTAGATAGATACATTAAATTCAACGTAACTCTAAATCTAGCTCTCACTCATTATGATCATTGTGCTGCAAAGTCCTCTGAGATTCAAGCTGCACCTGCGTCAATAGTTTGAAACACAGATTTGCTTGACAGTTTATTTTCTCCTTGATGAACCATGGACGATCCAGCGTGTGGACAGAGGAGAGCATCTGCACTATACTGAACTCCTCCCTGACCATGGAGCTCAACTGCTCGTACAGCTGTGGTCCAGAGTGCTGGAGGAGCTCCAGATACCCCTGCCTGCAGGTCTACGTCAGCATCAACGCCACAGGCCGCATAGGGCTTCTGTCCTACAACGAGGAGACGCAGGACGTCAGCTCTGAGGTCAGACTGCTTTATGAATGACGTTGGTTTCTTTTACGAAACCTTACTTAAAGGAATATGATGGTGATAAATAAAATACAAAACAGTTTTACACCAGATATAATTGATTAGCCAAGACATATTTAGTGCCTGAAGCTGGCTTATATACGTTTTTGGAAATAAATTCTTTAATAAATTATAAATTTTATAGAAATAACTTCACACATGGGCATCAACGTCACTATTTCTACATTTGTCTGAAACAAATGTAAAGTCTACATAAGTATAATTAAAATGTGTTCAGGCAGTGTCCAAACTTTTGACTGGTTCGGTCCACTTCTTCTGTATTTCTCCGCAGTGCTTCTACGTCCCAAAGTGTCAGAAGGACCATGTGGCCATGCAGGCTGTGGTGGTGAACATCTCGGAGAAGCTGAAGGCGCAGCAGCAGGTCAGATGTTATTACGACCCAGCGGAGCAGCAGGGCGGCGTCCTCCTGAGCCGACTGTACGGCTCCAGCGCCATCTTCCACTCCCTGTTCTGGCCTTCCTGCATGCTGGCTGGAGGAAGTCTCATTATCTTCATGGTCAAACTCACCCAGTACCTCTCCATACTGTGTGAACACATCAGCAAAATGCCCAAGTGACCTGCAGGGCCTGGACTAAAGCAAGGCCTTTCGCTGAAAGACCCTGAGAATCCCATTACAGTTTAGGGCACTCGGTCCACCATGGATTAGCTGGATTCTAGCAGCATAGCTGGAGAGAACAAAACACTAGAGCAGCTGTTATGACCACACAAGCTGGTGGACGTCTGGGAAAGTTCATTGGCACAAGTGCTAAATGGGAGCTACTGGAAATAACCTCAGTGTTAACTACGCTCTGCCTATGAGACAATCAGTAATGTAGTCACCAGTTATAAGCTATGCATTATATTATTATATAATTTCTCAGTGAGATAACAGAACATACAGTTACTCGGTTGTTAAATAGGCATTTACTGGCTTGTCATTTGTTTGTCATCAGTTTTAGAGAATTCACAATTTTGCATACTTTTTGTGTTTATGTTCTTGCACTACAATTCCCAGCATGCATTTCTCAAATACTTAATACAACCATTGGAAATCCCTCCCCCAGTGCTATAAAAAAATATAAATAATATATAAATACACTTTTTAGCATTACATAGCTAGTAATGTTAGCTAGTATAAAAAAATGTAAACAGCCCAAAAGAATTTGTAGTTTTTCAAAACTCCTCCCACCTCCAAAATACATCATCAGAAGGGGGGGTTTCAGTCTTTAAACCAGAAAATTTCACTCTCAAGACTGGTGTAGGACACAAATAGGCATGTTTCATCAGGTTTGTACAACTGAACAGCGTAACACCTACTAACTCGCTCCAAAACAAATGCTAACATGTTCCCTAAGCTAGAATGCCTGAATGCTGCTGCTGCTCAAGGAGTCGTAATCGATATCAACATATGAATATGTATCCATATAATTATAGACATTTACACAGCAAACTAGCTAGCTAACATCAGCTAACACAGAAGCTAATGTTGTTGACGTCCCTCCCACCTGATTTCTTAGTATCAGATAGGCTACTAATCACTATGCTGCATTCAACTACAGCTTGTAAACCAGATTTTCCTACCCCGACTGGAAAAGAACAAAGAAAACACCAACTCGACTGGAAATTTCGGCTTGGAAAGTTCGGAAGGTGTTTGCAAACTATATCTCACACAACATATCTAATTTTTCTCATTCTGAGATTGTTATAAGCATATTATAAAACCATTTAACTTCTTTATATGTTTTATACTTGTTTTAAATTAAGTGCTCTGTTTTTGCACATGTGCAGACTGAGAAGAACGAAAGAAATCAGAGTAAGGGTTCACATGCACTAAAAAATCTGATTACTGAGCCCAAATCCAGCTCTTTTTCTAGGCCTTAATCTGATTTAAGAAATCGGAGTATGCTGTTTACATGACCGCTTGAAAAATCAGATAACTGCCGAAATCCAATTATGATCAGACTGTTAAGTGCATGTAAACACACTCAATAATTAAGTCCCACTTTTCTACTTTTAAATGTCATTTTAGCAGTATTCAACCTTCAGACACAGCTGGCCCCACCTGCAGTCACATTTCCATCCGTGTCTCGTTTGAAAATGACTGCCACATGAAAGACCTGCCTTTATTCAGCTTTATTGTCATGCATTCCCCTTTATTAAAAGCACTTTCCACAGTTTAGGCCTTCTGACTGTCTGAAGGCTCCACGGTTTCTGCAGCCTACAATGAAACAGCTTGCGTGTTGTTCATGTGCTGAGTGGAGTTAGATATTATTTGTGTTCTATTAATAAGTTTCTGCTATGTTATTTAGGCTGTTTATTAACTTTCTCTTCATGCCCGCACAGCACTGGTTAACCACCTGCTCCCATGCATGACCCTAAAAATTAGCCCCACATTGCAAGATGTAGTGTTTGGTCCCATGGCAATGCAGATCTGTACTGGAGGCGTCAACCTTGTAATTTGAATGCATGGAGGTCAGAAAAATTGCATAATTTCAAGCTCCGACTTCCCACTTCCAGGTTAAGTTGAATGCAGCATTAGTTCACTGGCATGTTACCTACTTTGCTATGTCAGCTGCGTAGTATAGAATGAAATGTGCTGTGCAGAATAATTGTCTTTAGACTGTGGTCAGAATGCTGCTCAACTCCCTTAGCTCTCTCCAGCGCCACACCGTCGCTCCCTCTCGTCACTGTGCTGGATCGGTCATACTAATCAGCTGTTATATTGGGTCTTATCAGAACTCAGGTTTGTGCTTCACTAGCTATAAAGCTCCCTGTGGATGCTCAACATGATTGACAGGCAGGTAGATATGTTGGTGGTTCACATCATTAGTTTTGTTAATAAAACTGTGTTCTGACTTAAAAATTTCTGACCACATCTTTAACTGAAGGGCCATTTGACAAAGACCCAGCAGAACTCAAGCTCTCTTGGCTTATTGCAACTGCAAGCTTTGTCGCAACTACATATATAGAGCTGTTTACTATAACAGGGTCCCCTGTGATAGGGGTAACTGTTGAAACTAGCCACGTATAACATTTAAACAAACTCCCGCAGACCTCACTTCTACTTTCTCTGTAAACCCTCTTTCAGTGAATAAAACCCTGCATGATCCTGACACATTTTCTTGTGTCTGCCATGGCTTAAAACCATTATCTGTTACATTTATAGTTTACTGTACCATGTAGAGTCTCTTTGCGAGTACATGGCGGTGGTAGTATCGTATTTTAGTAGATGTATGTTATCTGTTCGGGTCCTGCTCCATGCTGGGGCTCCTTGGCCTGCATCTCAGCAGCTGGTAGAGTTTGCCTTGTGTCAGCAAGGTCTGGCTCCCCTCCCCTCCCTCTCTGGCAAGGATTTCGGCGCAGATGTGAGCCAGGCACTGGGTGAGCATGACCAGGCCCACCAGCAGGCCTCCTCCGAACAGCATGAGGCTGGGCCACACCAGGCACTGCAGTGCCAGACGCAGGGTGTATCTCCTCTTCAGAATCACCTCTTCAGAGTGTCTCCCCATGCCGGGGTGGCAACTTATGGCCTCCCCACTCCTGTTCAACAAGTACTGTTGGATCCTCTGGGCCTCTTTCATCAGCTCGGAGTTGTTCTGCTGGCTTTTAGGGGCGTAGAAGCACTGTAAAGGAAAAGAGATGGTACACTCAGAAACGTACAACTGGCTCTTGTGCGTGTTAAGAAATTAAATTTTACATTTCTTGTACGTTTATATTAATTAAATTGAGCCATTTTTAATATGTACTGAAAGTATTAGCATTGAAAGAACACAAAAATGCCATGTTAAATGTCAGGTCAAATAAAATTAATCATGAATTAATTGTGTTTTTCCACGTCTCTTGCAATTTCCACCTGCTTTCATAAGACGCATATGAATTGATTCTGTTGCCCTTAAAACAGGATGCATCCCACATTACCTTTGGCTCTATCAATTTGCATACTGGGCGTGTCTTTCACCTTGTTTTACTTACCATCTCTGTGTTGTCTTTCCCCCTATGCTATCCCCTCTGGGGGGGTAAGCCTACATTTTGTATTTTGGTTAATTGCCTAGCCTTGTTATTGTTGGCCGTAAGAAGTTACTACCATATTAATGCTGTCAGAACAAAACTTTGTATCTCCATTTTCAGTTTCTTCACAGAATTTAAAAATGCCAGCTGCCTTATACATTGTGCTAACCTTTCATGATGAAATGATCCAAAATGACTTGATATATAAGCTTTTTCGTTTTCTCCTTCTCCTAAAAAGATACAAGGTTTTGTCCTAACAGCGATGATAAACTCTATTGCTGAGTGTGGTTCCAAACTGCCTTCAGTGACCACTTTTAAACCAGCTCTAGTAAGATAAATTGGACTAACATTGATTAAATTACATGAGTAAATCAGTTCATTGGTCTTAATGAGTTGGAAATGTGATAGCAGACTAATTCAAGCCTTTATTAACTAGATTAAGTTGCTTTGTTTTCAAAGAAATCATTTCATTGTGTGGAAACATTTCCATAATTCAGTTAAGTTCAAGTGAAGAATGAGTTTTGTGAGTGTGTTAGCACTGGGCACAAGCGGTTATTAGTGGTTCAAGGGCCTGGGTGCTTAAAAACTACTTCTAGGCCAAAAGAATTGGCAGTATTTGGGCCCCACAGACTTGTTGGAATGCAAACAACAGAACAGTGATGTAGAATCGCAATGTGAGGTTACAGGGAATCATCCAGAAGCACTATTTTCCATGTTTTTGCAAAAATGATTTTAAAAAGCAGCAAAACCACGACACACGGGCCACAGCCAAGTATCCAAGTTGTAAAAAAGTTGTGAATAGCTGCCCAGAAAGTGGCACTGAATTTTGACATTCATCAAAAGCCCCAGCACCATGTCGATGTAAAAAGGATATATGAAATGTAATATGCTTTGTATGACTGTTATGTAGACGTGATCAATTCGTCAGCATGGCAGGTTTAAAGTGGAAGCAGTATTTACAGTCTCCAGTATTATTAATGGGTAAGGAGTTGACAGGAGTACCTCTGGGCTCAGGTTCACCGATACTTCATCGTAATGTAGAAGTGCTCTTCTCCCAGAAGCTGTGATGTTCACAAAGACCTGCAGGCACGGGGAGCTGTTTAAGCATCTCCAGTCATCCGAATCATTCAGAAGCTCAGCCTGGATCACTGAGCAGCTGATGGCCTCTCCCCAGTCACTGCACAGCAAAAGCAGCATAAGCTAGCAGGTAGGTGACCACAACTAAAGCCTGTCTTACAAAGCAGGATTTCTTACTTTACAAGCTTTAAGTTTAACTTTAAGCTTTGTCCAGTCTAACTCTGGATTTTCTGTCTCACTTTCTATGGGTGTACTTTGCTATGGCCACTTATGATGCATCAGGGCAGGTTGAGTTCAGGATTACAGATCATAAACAGCTCTTGAAGCAATCAGTGACAGCCTTCTGACCAATCAGGGACAGCCTTCTGACCAATCAGGGACAGCCTTCTGATCAATCAGCGACAGCTTTCTGACCAATCAAGGACAGCCTGCTGATCAATCAGTGATAGGCTTCTGACCAATCAAGGACAGCCTTCTGACCAATCAGGGACAGCTTTCTGACCAATCAGGGACAGCCTTCTGATCAATCAGCGACAGCTTTCTGACTAATCAAGGACAGCCTGCTGATCAATCAGTGATACGCCTCTGACCAATCAAGGACAGCCTGCTAATCAATCAGTGATAGGCTTCTGACCAATCAAGGACAGCCTGCTGATCAATCAGTGATACGCCTCTGACCAATCAAGGACAGCCTGCTGATCAATCAGTGATAGGCTTCTGACCAATCAAGGACAGCCTGCTGATCAATCAGTGATAGGCTTCTGACCAATCAAGGACAGCCTTCTGACCAATCAGGGACAGCTTTCTGACCAATCAGGGACAGCCTTCTGATCAATCAGCGACAGCTTTCTGACTAATCAAGGACAGCCTGCTGATCAATCAGTGATACGCCTCTGACCAATCAAGGACAGCCTGCTAATCAATCAGTGATAGGCTTCTGACCAATCAAGGACAGCCTGCTGATCAATCAGTGATACGCCTCTGACCAATCAAGGACAGCCTGCTGATCAATCAGTGATAGGCTTCTGACCAATCAAGGACAGCCTTCTGACCAATCAGGAACAGCTTTCTGACCAATCAGCTATAGCCTTCTGACCAATCAGGGACAGCTTTCTGACCAATCAGGGACAGACTTCTGATCAATCAGCGACAGCTTTCTGACCAATCAAGGACAGCCTGCTGATCAATCAGCTATAGCCTTCTGACCAATCAGAAACAGCCTTCTGACCAATCAGAGACAGCTTTCTAATTAATCAGGGACAGCCTTATGACTATATATATATGTATATATATATATATATACATATATATATATATATATATATATATATATATATGTGTATGTGGTTAAAATCTGATCAGGCTGCATGAAAGTCGTGTGAAATAACCAGGCGTAAACAGGATCTAATTAGTCTAATTAGTGTAATTAGTCTGTATTTGGAGACATACAGACTTCATAACGCATGCACAAGCATTGAATGACATATTTATTGAACAATACTTCAGAATGTATGAACACCATATGCCAGTAAGATGTTTCATGATGTTCTTAACTGGGCCTCTGCCTTACAAGATCCATTACTTGGAACTGATGCTTACGTCAGTACAATAAAAGCTTACGTCATCATCATCACCATCATGGCCTGAGCTACTCATAAATACTGCGTTGCCTTATAAATATGTAAATCAATTCTTATGCATGTGTTATTATGTTCTTATGAAGCCTTCAGATAAAGTGTCACTGAAAGTTCTTTGCCCTACTACTAAGATTTCCCTACAAATTCTAAGAAAACAACTAGCTGGCTTGCTGGGCAGTTCTTCCTCGTACCTGTTCAAACATGGCTTCACAACAACGATTCCCACCACGAAGTACATGAGGATAGAGAAGGCCACCATGGCGAATCCTAGCAACAAGGCTCTCTCCTCCCCGACACTGGAGACAGGGGCCTGGGCCTTAGCCTTCTCTCCAGCTCTGCACCTTCTCCACTGAGACTCCTGCGCCCCAGAAGGGTACTGCAGCAGCTCCCTGAGGAACACAGCTCACATAGAAGTGCTGGAGGGACCAACATCATCTACACATAGATCTAGACAGTAGTAACCGTTAAGGTACACAAATGGGTAACTGAGTGAATCTGTGTAACGTTGATTGTCATATGCTTTAGTTTTTCTTCCTCTCTACTGTGATTACCTTAAAATAGTTTGTAACTTACGCATGCTGGAGTCACCTGCTCAGGTTGTTTATAGAATTTAGCACCAAGATCCACAAGGTCCACGCTCACGAGTAAATAAAAGTGCAAATCGTGAGCAAATTGATACAGGATAGTGCAGTTCAGTGCAGCCAAAACCTGGTTTAGCCAAAAATATGTTATTTGTTCAATATGTTATATGTTATGTTGATTTTATTGTATATTTGTGATTCAGTGATATCTTTTCTTGTCATAATTCTGTAACCGGCACTGATTATTAGAAATATCAGATTTTATTTGGGGCTTTGGGTGATGATGGGCCGGTCGGGTCGGGTTCAGACTTAGAATTTGATTTTGCAGTTCAGGTTGTGTCCAGACTCACAACTTCATGTGGTTCAGGTCGAGTTCACACTCAGAACTTGATAATGTGGTTTGAATCGGGTAACTCAAAACTTGATGTGATTTGAAATGGGTTCAGACACAAAATTTGATGATGTGGTTTGAATCGGGTTCAGACTCGAAATTTGATGATGTGGTTTAAATCGGGCTCAAACTCAAAACTCGACATCCTACAGGTTCAAAACGTGAAGAAGCAGTTTGGATCCGATTCAGATTCAAACTCGATGATGTGGTTTGCATCGGGTTCAGACTCAAAATGTAATGATTTGTTTTGGGTAGGGTTCAGGCTCAAAATGTAATGATATGGTTCAAATTGAGTTGAGACTCAAAACTTGATGATGTGCTTTGAGTCGGGTTCAGAGTAAAAACTTGATGATGTAGTTTGGATCAAGTTCAGACACAAAACTTGCTGATGTGGTTCAGGTCGGGATTAAACTCAGAACAAGATGATGTGGTTTGTGTTGGGTTCAGACTAAAAACTTGATAATGTGCTTTGAATCGCTTTCAGACTAAAAACTTGATGATGTGGATCGGATCAGGTTCAGACTCAGAACTTGATGATATGGTTTGAGTTGGGTTCAAACTCAAAACTTCATATTGCAGTTCGGGTCAGTTTAGCATTGGCCAAATCATTTTTGGGCTCACTCAAGATTCCTGATTAAAGCTCTAGTGTAGAACCAGCAATACATATAAATTTGCATTTTTTTAAAATGTGACTAACCAGGTCTTTTGAAAAATTTGTTTCTTAGTGACTTTTACTCAGTAACTTTTATGTTCGTAATCGATTTACGGCAACATACTAACACGATTTCAAATTGTCAGAAAAATTGCAGCACTGACTTAAGTTGAAAGTTTGTTCTACCTTAAAAAAATTTCAAAATCAAAAGTTAAACCTTTCAAAACATGACTACACCTCTACAAAGGCAATATGAAACACTAAGAATGAAATTGAAATCGTACCTCATCGAGGACGGTTAAGTCAGACAGAACCTGTATGTAATAAAACTGAAGTTCATCGCATTTCAGGTCACCACCATCCTACATCTGAAGATAACAACAACTTCCGCACTCAAATTAAATCCATATCCTTAAAGTGAATTACAACGAAGGAAATTATTGATAATCCTCCAAACGAACGAAGCCAAACAGAATAATGAGTGTGCGGCTCCACCCTTACCGTGTACGCCGCCGCCGAGCGTTGCGCAGGTTGATGTGAACGGGGACGCTAAAGGATCCTCGAGGGGACGGACTCAGAAGCATGCCTGCCTGACCCCAGTCGGCCCTGGATGGGCTACAGCACCAAATTAAGCGGAGTAGCACAGCACCCAGCTTTCTCTAAGACACACAGTTCTGTATGGTGCCATGGAGGGCACTTTGGGGAGCGGCCTGTTTTTGCCTGGGTTGGGTTCTTCTACAGGCGGGGGTTTCTATAGGAACCACCACAGCCAAGCAAGGCAATAATTATGTCCAAAGGGACCATTATTGCAACTGGCAGTATATTCATATTTGGAGAGCACCCACTGGGTAAGAACTGTGTAGACCTATGTTGATTCTGAGCAACAGGTCTACATAAACACATAAACAGTTGCCAGTTTATTAGGTACACATATACCTTAATAACCTTCAGCTACTGTATACAGTACTATGCAAAAGTGAGAGACTAGTGTTTTCTAATTATTTGTCAAAATTGACCATCACATACAAGTTTTTGACTTTCATGAGACATTTCTGTTTTAAACTCCAAGAGTCTTTAAAACCTGAGTTAAAAAAATACTGAAAGATATTCACAAAATGGGACCCTTAACAACCTGGTAAACCACCGAAACTACCACCATCAGGTAAACAGTAAAGCTTTTATTTTTAAAATATAATAAGAATATAAAAAAATCAAGCTCCATTCTTGCTTCAGATCCGAAAAAAAACTAGGTATTTCTGTCCATCCTTCCACAAATCAATCAAAGAAGCTACTGGTGCATCTCAGAACAATGTTCAGCCCAGACCTCAACATCACTGAGAGTGTTTGAATTACTTGGATTGTGAGAAGCAGAAAGTGCAGCCAACTTCTAAGACCAAACTTTGGAAACCTGAAAACCTGAAAGAGAATCTCCTGAAAAGAATGGACACCAACAAAGGCGAAGAGTGGACACACTAAAAACGAGTACCTTGTACTTAATGGTTGTTTTGACTGTAAATTAAATAAATAAAGGGTGGTCTCCGATGTTTGCACTTTGTATGCACTTTGTAGATTTACTACAGATTGGAGCCCATCTGTTGCTGCACAATTGACCAGCCCCCCTCAACACTGTGCACCATAGGACCACCACTGAGACATTATTTGGATGGTGGTCCTTTCTTAGCATACCAATGATACTGACATGGTAGAGTGAATCAGGCACATTGCTAGAGTTTTACTGGCCACTTTATTAGCCACCCCTATCTTGTTGGCACACCTTCGAGGTGTACAAACAGATACTCCCTACAGTCAGTATTTGCATAAATACAACCTATATAGTAAATCGCTGCTGTCAGCACAAAACCATATTTCCAAAATGGTAACTTTACAGGAGAAGGGAAAAACATACTTTACTTTTAATGAAGGTCAATGGAACCAGACTATTTTACAAGTCATTCTGGGTGGTTTCTTTTAATGCATTCATCATGAAATTCACATACAATGTAAAGGACAATAGGCACTTTCGGAATATGTCAAAAACTAAAAAACAACAAAATTGGAGATATAAAGTTTTGTTCCGACAGCAGCGAAACGTACCCACTATAATAGCCAGTCACAGTAGGTACAAGTTAGATATTCTTCAAAAACTGGCAACTCATTGTAATCTTATGCGGGATGCTGAAAATTTCATGGCGTCAGTGCACAACAGGTTGAAAAAGATGTAGATACCAGATTAATGCTAATTATCGCTACAAAATAAATGCTCTGAGGCTAAAGAAAACTGAAACACCATCCACATCGACCTCAGAAGTCATGCTACCTCTGAAAAATTACCTGTAGGCCACCCTCTAGAAAAACAAATTTAACCCCCCATAAACTTGACCATAATTCAACGCCTTACCCTAAAATGTGTGTCCTCCTGTGCCTCCTTTCCATGTTTTCCCACTCCAGGTCTTATTATTAGCGCCATAAAACTAGAGGATGGCAAAGTTGATGGACTTCAGTGGGGTGACAAAACTCCCTCACTCTCACTTTATCAATGCAACAGGGCTTGAATAATTCATGAGCTTTTTAATTCTAAGTAACATGTATTATTCATGAAGTGTTGACGTTAAAAAAATGGAAATGTTCAAAGACGGCACTGTAGGCCTACACCTGCTTAGCTTTGATATCTCCCAAGGCTAAATGGCTCTAGCACGATACAAATAGCTGTTGACAGGCCTTCTTTTTCAAACAGTTCGGTGCTGGGCCTTAGCGCAAGGTCAGACAAAAATGTTTTTACCGTTTTGTATCATAATTTTTTCCCCCTAAACACTATTAGACTTTTAAAATATGAGTCATCATCAGTGCGCTGGGCCTTTGCGACCTCACAACTTTCCAAAAAATGACTTGATTTTTAATTGCTTTGAATATGCATCATAGTTGTGAGACTACTCTGCTGAAAAAATCATAGAAGCCATTAAGAGTTTCTGTTGGTTCCTGATGATGTCCATATAGTCAGTAATGGTAATTTGTGTTTTCCTGATGGGTTGATATCACAGTGTAAAGGACTTTAACGGGTGTTCTGGGGCTGATTCTAAATTCATTTGATGGTTTGCAAACAACTTAAAACAACTTTAGATCCAATTAGGAAGCAATCAGATGCTTTTAGAATCAGTCAGTGCATTTACAATAATCTAATCATAATCGGATTTCTGCAGTCATCTGATTATTCCACAGCACACTCTGATTTCTTAGATCGGAGTAAGGTCTAGAAATCTGATTAAGAAATCTGATAAAGAGAGCTGGGTTTTAGCTCAGTAATCAGGTTTCTCAGTGCATGTGAGCTCTTACTCTGATTTCTTTCGTATTTCTCAGTCTGCGCATGTGTGGAACAGACTGTTGTACCAGAAATAAGCAAGTACTGTTGCCGTGAGATGCAGCAAAACACTTTTGGAGTGACGCTGAAACCAAATACATGCTTGACGAAATGAAGGATTTAAATATTCTTCATCTTCTAGACGATGTATGTTCAAAACTTCAGGTAAAGTGGCGCAATGTTTCAAAAAAAGCCGCAGTACGTTTACATCACGTCTTCCTCACATTACCTCACATCACGTGAGTTTATTGGCCGGTTGCAAAGCAGAAATCTGATTACTGTCTGACTCATGTGCACCTGGAGGTTTCCCATTATCTGATTACTCAAGTGCATGTAAACATGTTGATCGGATTACTGACAAAATCTGATTTTCTGCAGTTATCGGAATATTAAGTGTATGCAAACACATTCAGTCTTTGCTCATCTGTTAAACCATTAGTATCCTTCACATTGCGATCTCAACCCATTTAAAAAAGCCAGTATATTTTACAAAACCATCAGGAACCAACAGAAACACTTAATGGTTTCTATGGGGTTTTTCAGCAGGGTTGTTTCAAAGATTTAATTTTATTATCTAAAATTATTTCGATTAACTTGATATTTCACCATGACTGCGTGGACATCTTCAGCTCGACCTCATATTGAGACAATGTGACATATTAAGCGAAATTAACTTATATACTTGCTGAATGTGCAGCAGGTGTCTACAGGCCATTGAAGATGAAGGTTGTGATGTCACTGATGCCAAAGGTCACTTTCTTAAAGGGGCAGTTACCTCAGGATGACAGGGTGGACAGCAGTTCTTGGACATATTTGAACAGCTTGATATTTTTATGAAAATGACAAAATGAAGAATCAAAATGCCCGAATTATTAACAAGCTTATTGAAAACTTTAAGAAAATATAATTAAAAAAATAAATGTGTTATTTAATCACTTAAAAGAGTCAATTTAACCATTCAGCACCAGAGACATGTCAAAGTTCCCATCGCCACATCAAAGAAAATGGTACAAAATGTCATTTTAAAGTAAAGGCTAACATTCCTATATCGCTGCTGTCAGAACAAAACATCAGATCTCCAAAATGGTAACTTTACAGAAGAAGAAAAAAAAAAACTACTTTACTTTTAATGTAAGTCAATGGAACCAGAATTTTTTCCAAGTCATTTTGGGTCGTTTCTTTTGGTTTATTCATCAAGAAATTTACACACAATGTAAAGGTCCACATACATTGCATTTTCAAATTATGTCAAAAACTGAAAAACGACAAAAATTGAGGTTTTTTGGTTTTGTTCCGACAACAGTGATATATTCGTAATAATGTATTCATTCAGAGTAAAACTAGTTGTTTCACGAAGTTTGTATGAACTTTAAATGACTGCGCTGGGGACACTAAAGGCACGTTTTAATGATACTGACCCACATAATAACATTTCATGACCTCAGGAGGCCCAAATTAGCATCTGAGCTTTGAAACTTTAAACATGACTCGCAGACATTTTTTGCTGGGATTATGTGGTATGAATGTAAAATGAAATATAAAAGTTATGTATTGGATAAAGGAACAATACCAAATTGCTATGCTAGGTGTCTTTCCACAAACTTTCCCTCAAAAACATACTAGTTTGCTAGCATCAGCAGTGGACAACAAAGAGTTTGTGACTAGGTGATTCCACGATTGGGGCAACATTTACATAAATGCATGTAAAATAATGATAAACAACATTTTGACTAGAGATGAAATCCTTCCCAATGACCTATCTGCATGTTTCAGATCAACACCTACCTTAAACATTATTAAAACTTAGGCCTATTAAAACCTACAGCACAATATTTTGCCCATCCCAACACACTATAACTACACTTTACCTTGTCATAATCATGAAATATTTCAAAAATCAGCAATGTGTATATCCTTTATCATGAGTCATTACGTTATAAGTTATGAATGTACGTTTTGCTTGTGTTCCTCAGTGTTCATTCAACCCTGTTACTAGAACACATTCACCATCTAGAATATTCCACAAATCACCTGTTCAACTGGGACTTTTCTGAAGATCACAGACAGATGATTGTTTTTTCTTTATTTTCAGTTATATTGTGATTTTGATTGATAAGATCAGTTTGGAAATCCAATGCTCTTACAAAATTATGGATTAAAACAAATCATTCATTTAAGAAATGTATTTTAAGTCAATTATTGGAAGGTCCTAATGTGCTTGTGCTGTTAGCATGGATTGCTAGTCAATCACATTTTGTGTATTTGCTAACTGTACACTAAAAAACACTCAACCCTGTTACACAGTTAAGTCACTGTCAGCAAAGAACCCTTGTAAGGAATGTGTGGAAGGCTGTTTCCGCCAGTGGGATAAAATATATAGACATTTATTAAGTCAAAATAATGAGAAAGTTTTCCACAATTATGACTTTGTATTTCATAATAATGAAATGCTAAGTCATAATTATGAGAAGCTAAGTCATAATTATGACATATTAAGTGATAATTATGAGGTTGAATCTCATTATTATGAGTTTGTAAGTCATAATTATGAGATGCTAAGTCATAATTATGACAATTATGAGGTTGAATTTCATTATTATGAGCTACTAAATCATAATTATAGGAAAGTAAGTCATAATAATGAGATGTTAAACCATATTTATGACATATTAAGTAATAATTATGAGGTTGAATCTTATTATTTTGAGCTACTAAATCATATATATGAAAAAGTATGTCATAATTATGAGATGCTAAGTCATTATTATGACATATTAAGTAATAATTATGAGGTTGAATCTCATTATTATGCGTTACTAAGTCATAATTATGAGATGCTGTCATAATTATGAGTTACTAAGTCATAATGAGATGCTAAGTCATTATTATGACGTATTAATTAATAATTATGAGGTTGAATCTCATTATTATAAGTTGCTAAGTTGTAATAATGAGATGCTAAGTCATAATTATGACGTATTAAATAATAATTGAGATTGAATCTCATTATCATGAGCTACTAAGTCATAAGTATGAGATGTTAAGTCATAACTATGAGATGCTAAGTCATAATTATGACGTATTAAGTAATAATTGAGGTTGAATCTCATTACTTAGTCATTATTATGGGATTATGAATTACTATGTCATAATTACTAGATATTAAGTCATAACAATGGAAAACGTTCTCATTATAACGACTTGCTACATGTATATATCTACATTTTTTTCCAGTGGCGGAAAAGAACTTCCATACAAATTAGCTATTATGGAAATGGGTATTAATTCATTAATTCATTAATTAATTAAGGTTCAATGCACGTTTCCTCAGATTCAATGCAGATATAATGTAAAACACATTCTCATTTTTAATTTTTCATCGTTTAAGCGCCTATAAGAGCTAAATAAACGACACTCAAATGGTTGAAACCGAATTTCCCGAAGCTGCTAAATTAAAACCACTTTTTTTGTTGATAGAATCGAATTACGGCTCCTCTTTCTCTCAGCACGGTGAATAATACATGGAGCGACCTGCCGGACAGGCTAATGTTTCAGAGCCTGCAAGCCTTCAGGGGAAGAACTCGTGACAGGAATATCTTCTGGACTGAGTGAGTTTTGTGGCTTTTCTAACTTCAACTCATATAAACGTTTTATTAAAGCTGAAGAAACATCTGTAGAGCTTTGTTTAGCGCTTTTTTTCTGCTTTTTGTACCGAGATAAAGTCGAGCATGTGTGGAGTAGAAGGTGGAGCAGCGACAGCGCCCTCTGCTGGCAGCGCCATACCTCAGCTGCTAATGGACAACATGATGTCTTTAATTTGAGCACATTTCTCCACAGAAAGGAGCAGAAATGGAGCGCAGGACGTGAGGAGAAGTGAAAAACACTCTTCCAGCAGCTCGTACTGATGGATTATCGGCGTAAAAGGGAGCTGTCGTTTCTCACCATTGGCCTGCTGTTTTTCTTGAGTGGTGTAGAATATGGTAAGTGCTTTGGTGTTTTGTCTGAGGCTTCAGTAACTTCAGTAAGGCCTCCACTCCCTCAGGGAGGCCCAACTACTGAGAGAACAGAGGAAATAGTGGCTGATGTTTAATACCATTTACAGAAAAGCCATAACATTAAATCCACCTCCTTGATTCTAGACACATTGTCCATTTTATCAGCTCCACTTACTATATAGGTGCACTTTGTAGTTCTACAGTTACAGACTGTAGTCCATCTGTTTCTCTGCATACTTTCTTACCATGTTCTTCAATAGTCAGGACCCTCATGGACCCTCACAGAGCAGGTACTATTTGGGTGGTGGATCATTCTCAGCACTGCAGTAACACTGACGTGGTGGTGGTGTGTTAGTGTGTGTTGTGCTGGTACGAGTGGATCAGACACAGCAGTGCTGCTGGAGTTTTTAAACACTGTGTCCACTCACCGTCCACTCTATTAGACACTCCTACCTTGTGAGTCCACCTTGTAGATGTAAAGTCAGAGACGATAGCTCATCTGCTGCTGCACAGTTTGTGTTGGTCATCCTCTAGTCCTTCATCAGTGGTCACAGGACGCTGCCCACAGGATGCTGTCAGCTATATTTTTGGTTGGTGGACTATTCTCAGTCCAGCAGTGACACTGAGGTGTTTAAAAACTCCAGCAGCACTGCTGTGTCTGATCCACTCAGATGAGCACAACACACACTAACACACCACCACCACGTCAGTGTTACTGCAGTGCTGAGAATGATCCACCACCCAAATAGTACCTGCTCTGTGGTGGTCCTGTGGGGGTCCTGACCACTGAAGAACAGGCTAACAAAGTATGCAGAGAAACAGATGGACCACAGTCTGTAACTGTAGAACTACAGAGTGCTCCTATATGGCCAGTGGAGCTGATAAAGTGGACAGTGAGTGTAGGTACATGGATTGTTAATGTTATGGCTGGTCAGTGTGTAAACTTTGCTTTCACACTTCACACCTTTTCTGTTTCTCTCAGTTCAGATCAATTCAGTAGGCTCTATTAAAGGGGAGCGCCACCCATTTTTTATCTCTGCATAATTCAGTCACTGAGATGTAAACTCATTCAGAGTGGTTTGATGTGGAATAGGTAACTGTAGAGGAAGCTCAGATTTCTTTACAGTGGTGGTGATAGGAACCAGGGGTCACAATGTCTATGACACAAATATAGCCATTTTAAATACTATCCAAAACCACCAGTGAACCTACATGTGCCTTCTGAGTTTTTATACAGTGGGCTCCAAAAGTCTAAAATCACTAGTTTAGACTTTAGACTATATATATATATATATATATATATATATATATATATATATATATATATATACACAACACACACTGATCAGGCATAACATTATGACCAACTCCTTGTTTCTACGCTCATTGTCCATTTTATCAGCTCCACTTACTATATAGGTGCACAGAGCAGGTACTCTATGGGTGGTGGACCACTGATGAAGGACTAAAGGATCACAAACTGTGCAGCAGCAGATGAGCTATCATCTCTGACTTTACATCTACAAGGTGGACTGACAAGGTAGGAGTGTCTAATAGAGTGGACAGTGAGTGGACACAGTGTTTAAAAACTCCAGCAGCACGTACCAGCACGAATGATCCACCACCCAAATAGTACCTGCTCTGTGAGGGTCCATGGGGGTCCTGACTATTGAAGAACAGGGTAAAAGGGGGCTAACAAAGTATGCAGAGAAACAGATGGACTACAGTCTGTAACTGTAGAACTACGAAGTGCACCGATATAGTAAGTGGAGCTGATAAAATGGACAATGAGCATAGAAACAAGGGTGGTCATAATGTTATGCCTGATCGGTGTGTGTGTGTGTGTGTATATATATATATATATATACACATACAAATAGAACATTTTCGGTCTAAATGAAGGTGCTTAGAGATTAAAAGTTTAAAATGGTTGTGTGAAACCGACAAGTGGAGATTTAGTATATCCTATAATACATTCGAGCTCACTGATGCACTGCAGCTAAAAGCAGATTTTCCCAGTTCAGTAAAAGCTCTCTGCATCTGAAGGGTGATCCAGTCACTGGAGCGAGTTTGATCATTTCTGTTATTCACAGTAGCGTAGACGTGATATATGATGGCATATGGCCTATGAGCACTTTATACATAAACAGAAAGTGTGTGTGGAAACAAAAACAGTTAAAAAATAGTTTCCCGCTGTACAGCCAGACAGGACCAACCTACTCTTTCACAGAGTAAGCAGTGATGAGTGTTGAGGGGTCGCCAGTGATGAATCTCAGAGCTGAATGACAGACTGAGTATATTGGTTTAAGAGTATTAGCGTGTTCATATCTATAAACCACATCACCGTAATCAAGAGTAGATTATAATGTTGCTTCCTTTTCCTCGTGTGCATCAGAAAACACATTTTGTGTCGATACAGGAATCCAAGTTTTTGTCTCAGATTGCCTGCAGGGTTATTGATACGGCGTCTGAGAGTACATTTGTCATCTAGCCGTATGCTGCAGTACTTACATTCAGTGACTCTTTCAGTGTTGGATCCCTTCAGGCTGATGTTCACAGTGCTGAAATCAATGTTAGAAGCTCTGGAAAACAGCATGATTTTTTAAAACTAGTTGTAAAAGGCAGTTTGTAAGGGATTAAACGTGCACTGCAATTTTTCCATCGCTACTCAGAGAGTCGGCAGAACAGTACAGAAAAGCATCATCTGCACAGAGATGCACTTTATAAGCCACAGTGGAAGTGGCAACATTATTAATATAGATATTTAATAATATAAAAGCGGTCCAAGGATTGAGCCCTGAGGAACACCTTTAGTTACTGGTAGCAGATCTGATTCAATTTGCCCCAGGGTAACAGTGCTGTCTGTCAGACAGATCATTCCGAGCCCATCTAATAGCACTGTGGGCAAATCCAATATTTTATTGACTTTTTAAAAGTTGTGAATGATCAACTGTTTCCAAGCTTTGGAAAGATCAATAAAAACGGATGCACAATGTTTCTTTCTGTCTGTGGCAGTTAGAATAGCATTTAAAACAAGTGTGGTATTATGTTTTTCCCTGAAACCAGATTGGCAGGTATACAAAACGTTCACATGGAGAAATGACTTGAGTTGATCGTTCACTAAAGATTCTGAAAGTTTGGCTCGGCATGATAATTTTGAGATTGGTCTGTAATTATTAAGATAAGCCTCACCTCCTTTGAGCGGAGGTACATGTGCCGGCTTTAAGATACTAGGAATACTGCTTGATGAAATAGAAGGATCAAAACTGTATGTCGTATGTTCTAAAAGAATAGTGTTTGTGAGTTGCTGGAAAAAGAGATCTAGTCTGTTCTCACCTGACCTTTTTCTCGGGTTTATAGCACTGAGCTTTAGCCATTCTGACATTTTTAAAAGAGGCTTATCAACGACCACGAGAAATATATTACTAAAATGATTTAGCACCAAGTTTCTAACGTGTAAGTAATACTACTGAGCGCTAGATCATTTAGAAAAGTTAAAATGTTTGTAACGTTTTCTAACCACCATCCAAGAGCCTGACTTGTTCGTGCATGTGTCCGACAGGGCAGCGGTCACTAAAACCAAGGTCGAGTACTTCTACAAAAGTAAATTTTCCTGTGCTTTTTGAAAGACAACTAAAAGGAACATACAATAATACCCTAATTTGATCAGTGTATGAAGTGTTTTCTTCCCTCATTTACCCCTCTTTGAAAAAGTGGTAATTTTTGGGTGTTGAATTTGTATACTAATGACCACTGATCTTATTGGCTGTCTCTGTGGAAGAGGCATGAAAAAGGGGTGTGGTCATTGCATTTCAAAAAATGATATCATGACAAGTTAAACAGTCTTAAATCTAGGTAATATATCTAATGTTTCTCATGTTGGGATTTTCGTAAGCTTATTATGAATTCCTAAAATTCTTATCAATTTCTTTTGAGATTAAATTCTCGTCTAACATCCCCAGTACATCACTCCATTCATGTACCTTTTGATGACATGTATTACCCAAGTACTGTTTGCAGAGAAGCAGCTCCCTATCATGATACTCCCACCGTCATGCTTCGCTGTGGGTGAACGTTGGTGTTTTTGGGATCATATGCTCAATGCTTCTTTCTCCTTCCTTTTTTGTTTCGTCTGACCGGAGCGCACTGATCCAAAGAAGATTCCAGAACAGTTCTGATTTGTCTAAATGCTTGTGTGTTCAGCTCTGTTCTTCTTTTGTAGCAGGGCTTTGCCTGGGTTGCAAGAACAGAAATAATTGTGGTGCAGTTCGTTGCTTATTGTTTTCTATGTAACTGTAATTCCTGCTGCTTTCAGGTCGTCCTCAAAGAATCTGCAGACACACCTCCAAAGTTCAGTCTTAGAAGTTGGTTTAGCATTTTCTTCTCCTGTGTTTGGGCCAGTAATCCCCAACACATTTAGTGATGTTGTGGTCTGGACTCTGGGGTGGTCAGTCCATTGTTCAGCTTCTTTGTTTGATGTGTCCGTCTCCTTTTCTCAGTGAGGTTCTTCTTGACAGCTACACATCCTTTCAGAGTCGTCTCCTCACAGTGGAAGGATGGACAGAAACACCTGTGGATGTTTTCAGATCTGAAGCAGCTTGATTTTCTCCTCTCTCTCAAAGATGGAAGCTTTAAGTGCTGCTTATCTGATAGGGATAGGGTCTTCCAGGTGGTTGCTAGGAATTCCATTTCATCTGTAGGTTTTAATCATTTTTTTAAGTCCAGTTTTGGAAACTTATTGTTCATTGACTTTCTCCTTCCTTATGCAAGTGGATTATCTTGTAATTATTCTTCTCAGAAACATCTTTTAAAAAATGAATAATTTATACTCAAAGGCTGTTTTGACTGGATATAAATGAAGGGTGTACATTACTGTTTATGTGAACCTAAAAGGATAATGCAGCTTTTTACTGGCATAGACCCTTCAAAAAAAGCCTCTGATGAGTAGATCAAATCCACCACAGAGTCATCTGAAAATGTGCTTCAATCAAAAGGATGAAACTCAAAAAAAAAGATTTTTTTTTTTTTTAACAAAAAAAAAAAATTGTTTACATTTAAGTGGTGCCCTGTGTGACTGGAATTCTTCTTCTTTCTTGGTTTTACTTATTGGACCTTTTTTATATATAAAAATTCTTAAACTTTCTGTTGTTTATTTTCCAGATATAAAAAAGTCTCAGACTTTTGGACCCCATTGCATGCAGTGTTGATAATAGTGGGATGGTGGTAAAATCTGGAGAAATAAGTTTTCTTTGAAGATTCTTTTGGGGACTATTTTTCTCTGCATGTATATTAAAAATACATGGTAGATTAAAACCTATCGTCTCAAGCATCAGGCAGCGTATTCAGACGTCTGGTTCCTATCACCACCACTGTGTTACAACATATTGATTGAATTATGTTGAAATTTGGGAAAATCAGAGGAATTCCCCTTCAGCTGAACAAAACTGACATTGAGTTTTAGAGTTGCCAAATCATTGTTGAAAAGACGAGAATTATTATTACATTTTTATTATTCTCTCTCTGTCTCTCTCTCTCTCCCGCTCTCTCTCTCTGTCTCTCTGTAAGCCGTTATCCTGCCCACCATATGGAAGTATCTGCAGATCCTGGATGCTCCTGCCTATTTCCTCGGTTTGGGTCTGTCAGCTTTCAGCTTCACCGGGCTGCTCTCGGGGCCGCTGTTTGGACGCTGGTCCGATAAGACACGGACTACAAAGACCATCATTCTCTTCTCCAATGTCTTTGAGATTGTAGGTGAGTACTGACACACAGGTAATATTAGTGTGTCCAAAACCACGTGAGAAATCACAAAATCACATGTGAACTGAAGAGCATGTAGACCAGCCCTTTAGAAATGAAAGGGGAATTCCACCGATTCCATCAAAATCTGAAGGCCTTAATGCCTAAAAAAGCTTGATCACATAAAGGTATTACATGAAATGGTTGTGAATAAATTGCCTGATGATGTCGTTTCTGGTGTCATCTGGTGTGAAATGGGCTTAAGACATCAAACTCATTTCAAACCCATTCATAGCGGAGGTACATGCAGGGTGTTGTGAGGCAAAATAGTGCCCAAAGAAAACAAAATTGTCTGCATTTACCACGAAATTGCATATAAAACTCTACATGTGTAAGTGCGCATGTACTCCGGTTCCTGTCACCACCACTGTAAAGAAGTCCAAGTCAGTGAGTTTCTCTACAGTGAACCATTTCACATCAAATCACTACAAACGACTTCGTTTACAAGGACTGAATTATGCCGAATTTTTTTTTTTAAATCAGTGGAATTCGCCTTTTAGTGTTTAATAGTGTAGCACACATCAGATCAGCACGCTAACACTGTGGCTTGTGCTACAGGCAACTTCATGTATTTCATGGGCTACTCGAAATGGCTTCTATTGTCCAGCCGACTTGTCGCAGGTGAGGATGTTCTGATTACAGTTTTAAACTTTATTTTAAGTATATATAAGTATGTTTAAGTATGATACGATTACGCGCATTTGACCAAATATGGTGGACTCTGTCTAGTAAATGATGGTCCTGTTCAAAAGTTCTCACAGTCTAGTGTCCCATGATAACTCCCTCAGGTATTGGAGCTGGCGCTGGTTCCTCCATCTTCGGTTTCCTCACCCGGACCACCCTCCCTGACGAACGAGCACGGATCTTCGCCGCTGTGATGGCGTGTCGCCAGGCTGGACTTTTGATTGGTCTGTCCCTGTTGCTTCAAAGCAGGATGAGCCCTGTGGTTCTTCTTCTCTTTTATACTGTTACTTTATACACTATACATACGCTGTGTGGCCAAAAGTATGTGGACACCCCTCCTAAATATTGAGTTTTGGTGTTTCAGCCAAACCTATTACTGACAGGTGTATGAAATTAAGCACACAGCCATGCAGTCTCCCTAGACAAACACTGGCAGTAGAACAAGTTGTATTGAAGAGCTCAGTGATGCTGTCATAGGATGCAACCTTTGCCACATGTGAGATTTCTGTCCTGCTAGATCTGCCCTAGACAACTGTAAGTGCCGTTATTGTGAAATGGAAGTATCTAGGAACAACAACAGCTCAGCTACAAAGCAGTAGACCACACAAACGCACAGTCTGGGGCCCTTTCCTGTTCCAGCATGTCTACTGCCCCTGTGTACAAAGCGAGGTCCATATAGACATGGTTTGATGAGTTTGGTTTAGAGTGGCCACCGGTGGCCTGCACAGAACCCTGACCTCAGCTACACTGAACACGTTTGGGATGAATTGGAACGTGGGCCAGAATTTTTTTTTTCCAACAGCAGTGCTTGACCACACAATGCTCTTTTGACTGAAAAGGCACAAATTAGCACAGACACACTCCAAAATCTTGTAGAAAGCTTCCTAGAAGAGACGAGGCTGTTGTAGCTGCAAAGGAGGGGCCAACTCCATATCAAAGACCATGGTTTTGGAATGGGATGTCCAAAAAGCTCATATTGCAGTGATGTTCAGGTGTCCACATACTTTTGGCCATATAGTGTTTTTTATGTACTTGTTGGCCACTTTATTAGAAGCCCCCTACTTTGTAGGTCCTAATATATTTTGATATGCAACAAAATCTATGTACAGTTAAATGGCTTTACAGTATTCTACAGTACTTTACTGATATTGTGTCTTGTCTCATCCAGGACCTGCTTTCAACATTTTCCTGCGGTTGTGTGATTTCAGGATGGGGCCGTTTATCGTGAATAAGTACACCTCCCCTGGGGTGAGCCTACGCCTCGCCTACATTTAAAAATTTCTTACAACACAACCTGTTTCTGAACGCTACACACTCAGCAAGCACAAATACTTGTTGATAGAGTTTTAATTTCAATGGTTATTCAAGATAATTATTGTTTACTTAATGGCAATATGTATTTTACAAATAACAACATTAGTAAATGTTTTACAGAATACAAAAATAGCAGCAATTGTGCAATAAATAGGTGTTTAGAGATCTAAAGAGCCTCCTGATTTCTGAGAAATAAGAAATGCATTTGTACATTTGTTGTTCATTTTTATTTTTACAGAATCACCACGTTTGCTTTGTTTAAACTCTGCAGGTGTAGTAATGATGCTCTCATTTCATTGTTATTTTAAAAATCAACCAATGAAAAATTAGCCAATGAAAAATTGTCAAATCAGAATTCATTTGATTCTGACCGTTTATAGAAACAGGAAAACAGTAGCAGCTTTATGCTCTTTACTGAGTCACTGTAGAGCTGCAATGTAAAAGGCAAAATATACATTAACGTCTCTTACAAACTCCAAAAAAGGTCGTGCTTCAAATTCCTGTGTCTAGAACGGCCAAAAAATGTCAGTGTGCACCTCTGTTAGCTTAGCGCTAATGTACTAGAAGATGGGGCTAAATGGTTTGAGGAAAATATCGAATGGTGATTTTTCTGACTAGTATTGTGTTGCAATTTAAATGCAATTATTTTCCGTAAGTTCATTTCCAGGCCTGTTTTTTGGCCAAGAAGACCAGAATATCCATCTGGCGTGGAGCTTGAACCCTGAATGTGCCCGGGTACCAGTTAGTTGTGGTTGTGAGGTCACAGCTCATGGGTGTTTTGTTGCTTCTGGTCAGTCTAACTCACCTGCAGGCAACTTTTGTGACTGAAAATGTGTACTCTTTTAACCTCTTAAAATTCCAGGCTTATTACACACTAAGGCTTATAATTCAGTAACTACTTTAGTGCAAACTGGCTGAGCTACTCTTCGTTTATAGAAGTGTGTAATTTCAACTTTTTAAGAGGTTAAATTATGATTTCGATATAAAAACTACTATAAGAAATCCCATAAGGGCACAAGCAGAAATTGACGTTATTGTTTAGGTGTTTTATCTTGTTTTTTGACACAAAGTCTTGGTGTAACAGTCACGATTTGCCACTGTAGATTACAGTACTTTACTAACAGCGATGCTGTCAATATGGAAAGTATATAATAGGATAAATACTGTAGTAGCACCAAGCAGGTAAACATTGTCTGGCTCTAACGCTCCTCTGTGTTTGGTCCAGTTGTTTATGTGTGGGATGTGGCTGCTGCTGCAGTGTGTGGTGTTCGTGCTGTACCATGACATCCCCCCGCTGGACTCCCTGCCTGAGCACATGGCTCTGCAGCAGGTCAGAGATCAAGAGGAGGAGCCTCTGATTGACCCGGAGGACGGTGGGACCGACACTCGCAACTTGGTCCACTCAGAGCAGATCGAGACCCGACTCTTAAGTGACACAGAACCCATCCGACCCCCCTCACCTGAGCAGGACGACCCCTTTAAAAACTTCAGCGCCAGCCGAGGTGAGTGGTTTTCAGCACAAAAATGTCCTGCATGACAAAATCAGAGCCTTTTTAAAGTCCCGAGGGACACAGAGTAAAATATTAAAATGTCTGTATGATAATAAACCTGAGTGTTACAGTAAACATTCAGCAACGCTTGTATGAAAAATATACGATATAAATATGATAAAACACGGCTTAAAAACTGCTGAGCAGGGCTATCTGAGAACTTTGTGGGCGTGGCTTATGAGCAGCTTGATTGACAGCTCTCTGTCCAACACTCCTAGCCTGCTCCGCCCCTCATACAGAACTAAAATCATTATCCAGCTTTTATGTCACGCTAACTAGACAAAGAAGTCATGGACGAACAGATGTGCAGACAGATGAACAAACAAACGGACAGATGAAGCAACGTTTGAATGAACAGATAAACAAACAATGCTGGTGTTGGATAAACGAGTGAACGGGCGACAGGCAGCTACAGACAGGTGGTCTAGCTTGCTAGCCTTTGGTTATGCTGGGTTGGCTTTAGCTCGCTAAGTTTCTCTGACTCTGAAACTCTTCTGTGTGGGCGGGGCCAGAGACGCAGCCCTGTGATTGGTCAGGGGAATGTTTACAGAAGCATTGACCAAGATTAGGACCACCCAGTTTACATCAAGAGGAGAGAAATATTACATTACTGCTTATAACATTACAAGCCTCATTGCTCAAATCTGACTTTTTGCTCAAATCCAATCTCTCTGACAGGATGGTTCACACTCGTTTAGGTAAGTGATTCAAATCTGTCATTAATGTGACGAACCAGCGTCCTGAAATGACCCTCATGCGCACATCCTATTCAGTAACGTCACGTGAATGAATCACGTTCATCATCAGCACAAACTAACGAGCAGAACGAGCTTCGCTGAGAAGATAATTAAGTCTGATCAGCTCTCAGCTTCATTATTAGAGCGAGACGAAGGAGAAAAAGGTGAGATGAGCTGCTTTTCCACCGTTTACAGGCTTTAACTTCTGTTCGGTGCTGTTGCCATGGTAACACTGAATGATGGCGCATGTGCAGTGGAAAAAAAGCACATGACCACAAATCGGATGCGTATCAGATCTAGGACCACATATGAAAGTGACTCAGGTCGGATTTGAAAAGATCAGATTTGTCCACACAGCTCAGAAAACATCAGATCTGAGTCACATCAGGGCAAAAAATCGGATTTGTGCCACTTCAGCCTGGTAATGTGAAAGTAGCCTTAGTGAAATATATTGGTCATGTTTTGGTCATTGGAACATTATTTAAAGGATATACTCAGTACATGTTTACTGTTTGCCTGTAAGAACAAGATCAACCTAATTAGAAAGAAAACACAGATTTAGGTTCCCTGGGTCTTTAAAAACTGAAGGTCTAAACCATTTCTTTTTGGTAACTGAGGTTAAGATTAGGGTGGATGTTAGGCTTGGAATTAGGCGTGTATTATACATGTAAATAAAATAAATATGCAACATATTATTATTATTATGACATATAGATACTGGCAGATTAGTGCTTTCAGGATGAAACCTTGTATCCTCAGTTTTAGTCGTTTTTTATTTTGTGCATAATTTGACAGAGCCATATCAAGAAATGAACATTTCTTGATTAATGCTCCAGTAATGTAACTGGTCCAAAATGACTTAATATCATTGTGAAAATGAATGTGAAAATTAATATTTTCACATTAACTTTCAGTAAAAGTTTTGTAAAATTGTCATTTTTGGGATACAAAATTTGTTCTTGCAATGATGATGTATGTAATACACATGGAATGTATTATGATGTATAGATGCTTGCATATATAATACACAAGACACACTATTACTTATAGATATATATAAAATTAATGGGGCATATTATTCTTACATGTAGGTACTTACATATGTAATGCATATGGAACATATTGTTACATTAAAATACTTACATATATGTTACACATATCAAATGTCAGAGATCTTCATTTATTTATTTTCAGTCAAAATGGCCGTTAAGTACAAGTTATTCATAAAAGCCTCAACAACTAAATGTAATATCAGGTTTTATTGTGCATTTAGTGAGTCACTCTTTACCTTTATTACAGCGTCCGTTCTTTTCAGGAGACTCACTTTCAGCTTCTCAAAGAAATCTGCATATTTTTCCACACCTCCAAAGTTCAGTCTTAGATGTTGGTTGCATTTTCAGCTTCTCAAGATCCAATTAATCAAACGCGTTCAGTGATGTTGAGGTCTGGACTCTGGGGTGGTCAGCCCATTGTTCTGAGAACACCAGCAACTCTGATTTGCAAATGTTCTTCTTTTTTGTCTCAGTAGGTCGCAGTTTTGTCTTGACAGCTACACATCCTTTCAAAGATGAAAGCTTTACGTGCTGTTTATCTGATGGGGACAGTTTTGGTGTCGACCAGCTCTTCCAGGTGGTTGTTAGGAGGCTCGTTTTCTATGTAGCTTTAAATCACTTTTGAACTCCAGTTTTGGAAACTCCTGTTTTTCTCGTATTTCCTTTGACTCCTTTCTTACCCAAGTGGACAATCTTACATCTAATCTCCTCAGAAATATCTCCTAAAAATGAATAACTTGTACTTGACCCCTTACATGGACCAAAGTTTTATTAAACACTTCTATTAACCAAGAATAGCTCAGTCAGTTTACATTGAAGTCCCTGTGGTTACTGAATAATAAGCCTAAGTATGTAATAAGCCTGGGATTTTAAGGTATTTTGGCTCTTTTGACTGGAAATCAAATGTGTGAAGGATAGTAACACAGTACTGTACATTAAATTGAAATGTTTTACATTATTAAAACAAACTTTCATACCTTTGAATGACTGTGTGTGTGTGTGTGTCTGTCTGTGTTGTCTTACTGTTCATTGATTCTCTATGTTGTGAGGAGGGAGATGATCTGACACTGCTGAAGGTCTTTATTGACCCCCCTGCGCTTCGTCTCTGGCTGCAGTGTGCGTTTGTGTGCGCGTGATATATAGTGATATATTTTTTATCGATCAGCGCCCAGTGCTTCTCATCCCTCTCTCTGTCTCTCTTCCCCTCCGTCTGTGCGTTTCTTCCTTTTTTTTCAGAGTTCCTGAGGGAGGAGGTGGTGGTTCTCCTCACCGCTCAGTTCATCACTCTCTTCAATCAGACGGCACTCGAGGTGAGAGCAGTCAGAAAGCACTTTGCGGCATTTAACCCAGCGCTAACCCGGCCCACCCACCTTCACCCGTCAATCACCCAGCGCCGCAGCACCCAGCTACAGCCCAAATGCCATTTATTACACTCTCCCAGGTGAAGAAACCATAATCAGCACTAATCCGCTAATGCTTTGCCACCAGCGGAGGCTTCTTCGCTCTCAGCGCCGTTACCCATTTAACCCATTTACCCACAGGCCTTTTATTCATGTCTGAGGTGGGTAAATTCATCCTGACGTTTGGGTAGGTATGCACTTTTTTTGCTGCTAGCGGATCCAGATTTGAACCTCTACTTTTAAAATAATCTTAAATAGACTTCTGTACATGGTTTCTGACACTGTATGCCATACTGCCAGGCTGGGAAGCCCTCTTTTTTCAGTGGGAATCAACATCGTGGGAACAACGTGTGTTCTCAGCACTGATATCGTGAAAACAATTTAAATGAATGGCCATAATGACATAATTGTATATAATTCTATGTAATTCATGCAATTTATTTGGCTGTTTGTAGTATTGCTTAATTGTCAGAGGGCTGCTTTCCAAATGGCATAATACCGTATACTCCTGTATACCGTATACCAGGGGTGCCCATACTTTTGTGGCTTGAGATCTACTTTTTCTAGTGGACAGGTCATCATGATCTACCATTAAAAATGCATTTCAGTGGTCTATTTTGATATTCAGCATTACAGGGCAAACGAGTGAAAAACCACACCAACCTTATTCTGATGATTTGCACTGAATGGTGTCAGCCTGGTTTGTGTAGTCTGGATCACCTTTTTCTTCCTGAGTTCACTGGGAATTCGTCGTCATAGTTTCTGTGTATAGTTTGAAAAGGCCTCTCGACGTTCCCCTTCTTCGGAAGTGTGATGGATACTTGGCAGATCAAGCAGATGCATTTGGAGTTGACACTGTAAAAAAATAGCCCTCTACCTGCTCTGCATGGAAGTGGCAAGTGTTCGGTTTCTTTGTGTTCGGTCTCGTGATCATCTTCTAAAAGAGTCAGTGTAGGTTACACAAACTGCAAAAATAGTGCTACACAAACTGGCTACTGATAAATTAAAACCTTCTAGAACTCACAGCAGTGCTTTAGGCGGGCTGTAGCGTTGCTACGGTAACAAGCAGTAAATTAAAGAGACAGTGGCCACATTTCACGTCAGTCAATCACGTTGACCTGCCCACCGCCAGATGCAGTAAGAAAGTGTTGAAATTTGACTGCCTGTTTGAGGCACGATCTACCAACGTGCACTGTGCGACTGACTGGTCGATCGCGATCGACGTATTGGGCACCGCTGCCGTATACTGCATGCTACTCTTCATAGCACACTATCCACAGTATACAACAAAAGCCATGTGTCGTACTACAGGAAAGGGGCGCGACTAGACTGCCAACATCTGGGACTGAGCCAATCTGAACCATCCCAATTTCCCCAGCTCTTCTATGACTGCTTCACAACCATTGCTAGCGTTTTAGCTCTTTTTCAGGTCAGTTCTGGCAACATGTGGAGACGTGCCTGCTGAGTTTCCAAACAGACCTGTTTTCCTCTGTTTGTGGGTCATTTCATTTTCATTGCATTTATAGCTGGCAGTATGAGCTACATTAGTGAGTCAGTCAGTTTAGTCCAAAGCTAGACTTAAAGAAAAATCAGATTCTCAGTTTTTTTCCTCACCGCAAATGCAGTCAATCAGCCAGGACACCTTTGCTTCTTTAGTTTAGCACTGGAGCTATGAGGGTAATGCAGCCAAGTAATGGAAGCTTGTGTACACCAATGAGTATCACAAAAATTGCTTGCCTAAATCTGCACACTTTTACCTTAAACTGTGTCCACTTGTTAATTAGTCTCAATGCTTACGCGATTACTTAAAAAGTATGTTGTTTCCGACACTGTATGACTGTATTGTTACCTATACGATTGGCTAAAAGTATGGACAAAAATCATGCTTTAGGATGGCTACTAATACTGTTTTATATACTATACTAATTTTTTTAAAGCAGGCAATTATTACTTTAATCCACGTCTGAGAAAGCTGCTCTGGTATTACTGTTAACAGTAGCTTAACCAGCTTTTCCTAACCATGGCTGTTTTCTCTGCAGACGATGGTGACCCCTTTGACGCAGAGGTACTTTGGCTTCGGCGAGCTGGGGAACAGTGTGATGTACAGTCTGTGTGGAGTGGAGGTGATTGTAGGCTTCTTCCTGGTGCGCTGGCTGAGCCGTGTGCTGGAGGACCGGGCCGTGCTGGCTGTGGGCCTTCTGATCTGCTGCGGAGCCTGCGTCTGGTGCATCATCTTTCTCGCCAGCCCCCAGGGTGAGTGCATGTGAAGGGATGGCATTGTTTCTGATTGTGTTTTTGAAAGACAGATTTTAAACACAATGTACAATTTTGTAATTTGCATTTAGTCTTGGTAAAAAATCTAAGATGTACCAAACTATTGTGTTTTTTTCTATTTTCGAAATGTTGAAAATGCTCGCCGTCCCACAAATTGCATCGTCACAAACACATGCAGTCGAAAAAGTTTGAAAATTGCATTTTAAAATTTAATTTTAAGTTAACACATCCACATAACTTAACACATAGCTTAACGTGGCACTTTCTGCACAATTTGTATTTTATTTTATTTTTTTAGTTTAACATATTGGAAAAAAATAATGTGCATTAAATGTGCAGAAGTGTGTTCTCAGTAGAGCAAGTGTATTTACTTGACTGAGGGTGCCCAAACTTTGTATGTCAACGGTATACGTTCTCATATTTAACAGCCATGAGATGTCTAAACTCTATACTCCACCAGAGGGCAGCGAAGACCCTGCATCTTACATTTTAGTCAGAGTTTCTTATTTCTGTATTCCAATGACTGAAGCATAGAAAGCTATAGTATATCGTAAGCGTTTCAGAAAAGTGCTGATAAACATCAAGCACAGGTTCATTTAGGCCAGTGGTCACCAGCCCTCCTTCTGGAGATCTACCTTCCTTCAGGTTTCGCCTGCAGCCCAAATCTAACACACTTCAATTAGCTAATCAAGGACTTAGGAAGGCAATAATTAAATGGATCAGGTGGGATCGATTAGAGTTGGAGCTGAAGTCTGCAGGAAGGTAGATTTCCAGGAGTGGGCTTGGTGACCACTGGCCTAAATGAGGCTCTTGTTTATTTAATTTTTGGTGTTTGGTATCAGCTAGATAACTCCCATAAACTCTTTGTTTTTATAGCTAAAAGAAAAAGTTACAGTGTGCCTGGCCTATAACTTTAGCTAGGGTGAACATAGATGCTAAACATCTATAGATGGCTGCCTTTCTTGTAAACAGGCATGTATCTCTGATGGGCATCACCACATGGGCTTGAGAATATTTTGACGAACCATTATCAATAAACACTGTTTGTTGCTGCATGCAGAAATGCAAATTGAGGCTGTACTATGCACAGTGGAAGTCATATGTCAAAAGCCTGGAGAAACGCCGCCAACTTCTTTGGGCTTGAACTCATCTGAAATGGACTGATGCACAGCGCAAACATGTTTTGTGCCTTTCAGATTGTTTATGGAAATAATGGACATCATGTTCTTCAGGCCAAGAAGTAAATGACCATCCAGATTGTTTCCAGCGTAAAGATCAAAGTCAGCGTCTCTCTTGGTATGAGGGGGTATTAATGGGTGACTTGTACATCTGTAAATGCAACATTAACACTGAACATATATAGAGCATCATATGCTGCCTTTTAGATGACGTCTTTTTCAGGGATGTCCATGCTCATTTCAGCATTCAACATGACAGTGCTGAGCCACATTCTGCACATGTTACAACAGCATGTCTGCATAATCAGAGAGTGTGGGTGCTAGACTGGCCTGCCTGCAGTCCACATCTGTCTCCCATTGAAATCATGGGCAAAACACAACAAAGAAAACATTTCGCTTTCAAAGTTTTAGTCTTCAGTCCCCTAATGATTATTAAGTTTTGTTAAAAGGAGAGGTGATGTAGTACAGGGCTAAAGGTGCCCCTGTACCAACTTTTTTGGAGCGTCTTTCATCAAATTTGGAATGAGCGCATATTTACAAAAAACAGTGAAGTTCAAAAATATAAAAGGTGTTTCACTTTAATAATTCAGGTCAAACAGAATTAACTAATCACTGCTTTATGTTTTTCTTACCGTTTCACGTACTGTCCCAACTTCTTTGGAGTTCGTATAATTCATGATTTAATATAGTACAGCAGTAGTAAGATGCTGAGCGGCGTCCCTGCCTGTGGTCGGCAGTAACCTGTAGCATCCTATGCTTTTCTTTTTAGGAGAGGGAGGTAGTATTCTAACATTTTTTGAGTAATGCCTTACATATTCAAACATCACGTTTGACCGAAATGCCTATTCGTAGTCTCTAATCCATTTTTATTGTATGTTTTTTTTTTGTTGACATACCCACCCTAGATCCAGTATCACTGTACTCATATCATCATTGCGATTCATAATTGCCAAAAAGAAAATAATTATGTTGAAGCAAGCATTTTAGTGAGCTTTGTTTAGGTAAAGGGCAGGTGCTTGGACCCCCTGCATATGCCTGGTGAGCATGGTGGGGTGGAGTGTGTGAAAGTGCGAGAGAGAAAGCGAGGCTTTGGGCAGCCGTCCAGACAGACTGGCACGCACACCTGTGCACGGACAGACACAATATGCCAGCCCTGTTTGGCGGCAGAGGCCGACGCTCCTCCATCGCTGTGAAATGAGTTTCTGTCAGATGTGCTGCTGCGGATTCGTGCTTACATACAGATACACAGATAAGGATGCTGCGAAAGAGAAATGCAGCGGTCACAGTGCCGATCAAACGTCTGGACACGAGCTTGATGGAATGTATGTCTGGTCACAATTCATTTTGTTAGTCTCCACTGATTATGTACAGATGCTTTAATTGTGAAAGTACTGACCGGTTAACCCGGTTGATTATCTTGACAGTGCTACTTTCAACTTAAAGTTGTATTTAATGTACATTCCTGGGGGAAAATATAAAGGTTTATACTGATGGTTTTGGCCTGGTCAGAGTCCAGATTCACACACTATAGAGAATATTTGGTTTAACATTAAACACAAACTAGCTTGGCAATGTTTTTAACTGTTTGAAGCCATCAATGCTGGGAGGAAAACACTGACTCTTCGTTCTTTAAAGGGCTGTCTGCAAATTTATACAACATTTAAAGAACTCAAAGGGAAAAACTATCCCATGTTAAGTTTAACTTTATCTATTTGTTTAATGATTTGTTGACCATTTAAAGCTTAACGTTTTGCCATTTTGGGCTTGACCCGTTTTTATTGCCCAGGAGTGTATATTTAGTTAAATGTTATGTGAAGGAGAATTCTCTGATTATTCAAGATTTCTGCATAATTCAACCATTACGATGTAAACAAAGTCATGCAGAGTGGTTTTATGCTCTATTCTAGAGAAACAACCCAAGTTGTTCACACTGGTGGTGATAGGAACCAGAAATCTGAAGTGTTCAATGCTTCTAAAAGGTCCCTCAAATGGTTATGAATATGCTGCCTGATGCATAAGACATTGTTTAGTGTTAGTTCTGAGATAGTTTTGGCCTAAAGCATATTTTCAAAGCTATTTGTGAGTTCAGAACATGCCTTCAACATGGTGGTGGTAGTATGAGTGAAGACTGATTGAGGGAGGGGGGAGAACTCTGAGAACTTGGGCTGGAGTTCTGAGCAGCTTCTGCCTGTATCTAAAAGGCCAGACCCCCTCGTAGCTGTAGTAGGACTGATGTAAGACTGAGGAACAGGGAGGAGACGGGGTGGCGAACCCTTCGTTACAGGAACGGAAGGTGAGTATGTGAATTTATAGGGCGTTAGATTGGAAGAAGGAAGGCTTTCAGCCATGTTCCTCCCCCCAAACTTCAGTTATAACACAACATTTAATGGATGAGAGGTACATGCAGGGCTTTGTATGGCAAAGCAAACACACTTGAAAAGATTTATTGCTATATTTGTGTTGTAGAAATGGCGACGCCTGGTTCCTATCACCACCACTGTTAAGAATACTGGTTTGGTATGTTTCTCTACAATAAATAATTTCACATTAAAACACTCTGAAAAACTTTGTTTACATATCAATGACTGAATTATGCAGACATGTTCAAAATCTGGAACCCCCTTTAATGTTTGAGCCAATCAGATGTGTTGTTGGCTCTAATTAGCTCTATTTGGTAGAAAGCCAGCATTTCTGATTGAAGTAATTCCATATTACATAGTTCTGATGTCTTCACTGTTTTTCTCAAATGTGGAAAACAGTAAAAATCAAGACCTCGTCTATGAGCAGGTGTTCCTGGTTCTGTAAACGCGTCCGCAGATGAAATCACCGTTTACATTGCTGTATTGTGTTTGTGGACACTGTGTAATTTCAGGGTTGCCGGTTGATATTTGAGTTGATTAAAAGCTGGTATGGTGTTGTGCTGCAGGGCAGATGTGTCTGATTTGCATATGCATGTGTGGTGATCAGGTGGCTTTGCGGTGGAGCTGACCGAGTTCATTATCGGAGTGTTTCTGCAGCTGCTGGGGCTTCCCTTCGTCGCCGTGTCTCAGGTGTCCCTCTTCTCCAAAGTGACCGCTGAGAAAACACAAGGTACGTGTGTAAGAGAAAATGAATTGAATTGAATGGAATTGAATAGAGAAAGAATAACACAACAGCGTCGTGTGTTTTTACACAGCACTGATTTCCACTTTCGCCTTATTCTGTGTGTGTGTGCAGGTTTTAGTCAGGGCGTGCGGCGCTCGGTCGGAGGCTTGGCCACTATCCTAGGCCCCCTGTGGGCAGGTGGTCTGACGGGGAATCTGTACGTGATGCTGGGAATGATGCTGTTGCTCCTCATTCTGATTATGGTCAGTGACTCCATTGTTAGATTTAGAATTATTATTGTACTGATATATATTACTGTGCAGAAGTCAGACACCACCCATCATTTATTTCAGACGTTAATTACAATTTATTCATTTATACTTCTGTGGAGATTAGATATAAGATAATCCACTTGCATAAGGAAGCAGTGAAAAGACAAGAGTTTCCAAAACTGGCGTACAAAAGATTTTTGGTTACTGTGTCTTTTCGTTCGAGATATAATTATATTAGTAATAATAATACTAATAATAATCTGTATTTGCATCACACTTTTCATACAGAAATGCAGCTCAATATGCTTCTCAGAGAATTAAAAGACAAAAGAGACTAAAAGAAATACATGTAAATAAGATCAGATGAACCTAAAAGTAGGGAGAAAAATAAAAAAGTAGTATAAAATAAATGATAGTAATACTGATAATAGGAATAATAACAAGAATAACAGCAACAATAATAAAACATTAAAATAGTAATAAGACAGTCAAAAAGAGTGCAATAATGCTAGTATTGAAAGTAAGTATAAACAAGGGAATCATGAAAAATAAAGTTGGTAAAAATATGTTTTCAGCTGCTTCTTGAATGAATTACTGATGCCGCCTGTTTAATCTCTCTTGGTAAATTTATTTGGTGCATAAAACCAAAAAGCTTCTTTTCACCTCTTCTTTTCTTGTTAACTTTTGGTGCTTACATGGCCTTAAAGAGCCTAAATGGTGCTTATACATGTAATGTTTTAAAAAGCAGTAGTACTTCTTTAAAATCCCTAAAGGAGACTGGAAGTCAGTGTAATGAAGCCAGAATTGGTGTGATGTTTTCTCACTAGTGTGTTGCTGTTAAGCACTCTGGCTGCAGCGTTCTGGACGAGCTGTAACTTATCAACCTTTTTTGACAAACCAGTAAGCATATCGGAACAAAACCTCCAATCTCCAAAATGGTAACTTTACAGGAGAAAGAAAAAACATACTCTACTTTTAATGTAAGTCAATGGAACCAGACGTTTTTCCAAGTAATTTTAGGCCATTTCTCTTGGTTTATTCACCATGAAATTTACACACAATTTAAAGGCCAACAGGTCATTTCAAATTATGTCAAAAACTGAAAAACGTCAAAAATGGAGATACAAGGTTTTGTTCTGACAGCAGCGATATGTAAATGAGTTCTGTTCTGATTTACTGTAAATTCAAAAAAGCAGCCCATGCAGGCACATAAACTGCTTCAGGCTGAACAGATGAATATATGCAAACTGGTTAGTTTTCATGACATCACAAAAGCAATGAATTTGTAAGAGTATTTTTTCAGCTTAGTTTCCATATATGGACTGTAGACTGAGAATTGAATGGCATTTCGAAGCTTTAAACATTTTTATAGCAAGAAAATTAAAAGCAAGAATATTACATTTTCCATGTTATGTGCCCTTTAATATGACAGCCTCCCTCTACCTCATTAATCATTAGTAGTACATTAATACATCAATTGTACCGCTGCTGACCAGATATTATTTTGGACCATGTCACAGTCACTGCTGTGTTGAGAGTGGTCCACCATCCAAAAATATCCAGCCAAAAGCTTCTCTGTGGTCAGAAACTGACCACTGACAAAAGGCTAGAGGATGGCTATCACAAACTGTGCATCAACAGATGGGCTACAATCTCTACCTGTGCACCAGGGTGAGATGTTTCCGATAAAGTGGCCAGCGAGCGCATAGCACCCCACATGTTTACTAATAGATAGATTGGATACATCGATTTGGGTAAACTGTGGATGTTTTATTGATTGTCAGATCATGATGGTGCTCTCCTACGAGAAGCTGGTGGAGCCTCCTGTGGTCCAGCATGCGGACAGCTCGGAGAGCGGAGGGTAGAGGACGACGTTACTCACATACTGCAGGCACAGGTGAGGTGGAGAACAGCCTGCTGGATCTGTGTGGATTGTGAGCTGCACTGTTCACTGATCTTTTCCTCACTAAAGCTGTGGAGCATCAGAAATCAATGTCTCTGGACAAGCGGTCTCCAACGCTGGTCCTGGAGAACCAACTGCCTGCAGAGTTTAGTTCCAATCTGTATCCAAAAACCTGTAGCCAATCAGGGACTTGAGAAGAGGTTGATTAGCTGGAGTAGGTGCGGCAAATTGTGGTTGGAACTAGGCTCTGCAGGAAGGTAGCCCTCCAGGACCAGGGTTGGAGACCACTACTCTGGACACTACATTAGTAGGTGTGCACCAACATATCACTTATGGGTCAATGCTAATATCCAATATTGATCAAGTGCATATCTGGCGATGCCGATACATAAACATTTATTAAATGTAGAAAAACCTGGATTAGCATTACAGAGAAATATATCATGTATATATATGTGTGTGTGTGTGTGTGTGTGTGTGTGTGTATTGATATGGTTACAGATGCAATAAAATGAATAAAATGCAGACAATTTAGCACAGTATATCAGCGTTCCTAAACATTCAGCTCTTCCAGGATACAAATAATAAAAATAAAATAAAAATTACCTGTAAATTTACGGTAAATTACTGGCTACTAGTTGCATTACTTCCACAGTAATTTACTGTACCATATTAACAGTAAATAACAGTACAATATTAGCTGTATACCCTGACTCCTTACTCATCTGAACCTCAAGACTATACTACTATACTATACAAGACTATACTATACTATGATGTAGCTGTATTCTGCTGTACACTTACACTACAGTAATAAGCGGTAGTTAAAATACAGTAACATCCTGTATTCATACATAATGACTGTAGAGCCAATACAGCTCAGTATTTCTTTTTAAAGAAATGTAAATAAAGTAAAAGATGAATTAAAATAAAAATCTAAGTCAGTGAACATATTTATATGCCATGTTTTGCACTGTATATGCTCAGAATATCTAAGTATGAACCTTGAATGCAAAAGCACATTTTACAAATTAACTTTGCTTATAATTTGCACAAGCATATTCTAACAGGTTTTAGCAAGTTTTCAGTAGGAATGCGTCAGAATTTATACATTTTTTCGAATAGTTTTTACAGTAAATTAGTACTGTTAATAAGCAGTTTAGCTTTTGATTAATTTCTGATCTATTTAGCCGAGTTAAAGAAGCACAAAGACTGCGGCAGCAAACCGGATGAGAAGTGCCGTGCTACATAACAGCTAATGCAGAGTGCAGTTATACCATAAAGAAAGCAGAAAATTGCCCATAAACAACAAACTCAAATTCATTTTACAGTCTGCTTGTATAGATTTAATGTAATAGAACTTTCAACATCATTTAATGAATTTGTGGTGTTTGCTATTCGCTTACTAACTTTATACAGGCTCACAGGCTTTTCCAGAATCGACCACTCAAAATCAGTGCCTGACCTCACTAATGCTCTTGTGGCCGAATGCAGTCAAATCCTCACAGCAATGTTCCAACATCTAGTGTAAAGCCTTACCAGAGAAGTAGAGGTTGTTAGTGCAGCAAAGGCTGAACAAGCTCTTGACTTCAGAAGAAACGCTGGATGGATGTTGTCTTAGCCTTGAACTGAACGAATGATGACTGCATTGAAGACTCGTTGTGTGGAGGCCCAGCAGCTTCTACTCTAATGTGACATGGTCAGCACCCAGCTCTCTCCACAATGTCCAGCGCCAAATTAATATATCCACGATTTTGCATTTCCACTCAGGTCGGGAGCACTCGGCGGTCCGTCTGGCTGCGTGCGGAGTGTGTGTGGCGCGTGGTGGAGCAGATGCTGAAACGGTGGGGTGTTACGAGCTCATGCCAGAGGTAGCAGACCTCGAACAGCGAGAGGGAGTGACGGACACACACACCAACCCACACACGTCGCAGGCTGCGCTTCATCCCTCTCAATCATTTACTGCTGGACCCATCTCATTGTGCTGCACCAATACTGGTCATATTGGAAATGTTTTAATTTAGGACATTACACGACTCAGTGATACATGAACTGTGTTTAAAGCCTTTCTCATTTTAGTGTTGTTTTAACGTGTACTGCATTGATTGTCCACATGGGGGTGCTGTTTCTCCACACTGAAGGCCCTCCATTGTAATCACACTATTAAACCTCTAAGCCCTGTGTGCTGTGTTTGTGTAGAGGGAAAATAGTGATAGAGAAACGAAAAAGGAAATTAGATTCTCTAAAACATAAACAGAACTATGCTGTCATTTTAATCTCATCAACTTTGATGTCGGCCGTTATTTACTTTTAATAACGAGAATGAATCTTTGGCCTTGAGAAGCACGTTTACGCGCAGATTAAGCACCGAGGGAGCTGAATGTCAATGACGCTATTATGCGGCCTATCGTCGCCCGCTCTTACATCTGAAACATCGATTCCACTATTTACGCCCATCTGTCAGCACTAGCCGTGTTGACGCTACAGTGAATTATGGCTGTCTTCGTGGGGCGGAAAGCCAAGCGAATTAGCATTTAACCCCTCACACCTTAATCCAGATTATCTCCCAATCCCTCACTCGCTCACTCGGGATTATAATCCCAATCTCGAGCGCACGTTCACATCTGCGGACCACACGCGCCCTGCCAGACAGCTGCTGTGCGCATTAATCCCCTTGGTTTTAAAAGGCCTTCGTGACATTATTTATCGCTGCACCTTCATAATTCTGCCAGACGTATTAGTGTGATGTTGAGTGACGGCGCACTAACGATATCCCCTCTGCTCCTGATTGCGCATTAGAGCGAATGTATTTACGATCCCTCCTGGCGGGGCTGCTCAGAGGGTGTGGGAAAGGCCCAACAGGGAGTCCTCCATAGAAAAGAGGCTTGTTTTTTTGTATTAGTACAGCTTTGAGTAATTGAGGGAAAACAAACGCAGCCTAAATTAATGGAGGCAGGCCGCAGCACGTGCAAGAATAATGGCTCGCCGTCGGGTTGGCATTTGAGTCCGGCCGATTCGAGAGAGAGATGCAGCTTTTTACTCACCTCAGCTGTGAAATGTCATTTAGAATCAGCAGGTCGCGGCCACGGGCAGTATCGCGAAGCGCAACGCTGCTCAAATCCTATTTGACAAATGTGTGTCAGACGTCATAAGCGGCTTGGGATTAAACGTGTCAGGCAAGTATATTGAACATCAAATAAAAAAAATAAAACAACCGTGCGAGGCAGCCAGAGGGGGGAATTGGGCCGATTTGAGGGCAGAGTGATGGGCACGGATGTGGCGTGGAGATAAGCTTGGCACGTGTTGGTCCAGGACATGGTCAGCGTGCTGTTGCGTGCGGCATGGTTCAAGATAAATGTCATAGAAAACCAGATTTTCCTTGCTTTGTTTTGAAATAAAAGAGTGATAGTTTTCAAAACAAACCGTTCGCGCCCCAGTTTATACCGTCCATACTGGGGAAGCAACAGGCCGTTTTGTATTTGCCATGGTTGTGATGTCACACATACCTACATGACTCTGCCTGCAGCTTCTTCATTGGAGAAACCTGGTACCTCGTTTAATTTCTCGATTTTGTGAAGATGCTGGCGAACTGGGTGACAATTCCTCTTTTTGGATTTCCTTTCCTTTTTTTTTGTTTCTGTTTTTGGCTGAGATACAAGAGTTTCATGCTTTTTTTAAATGAAAGAGTTTGACTGTTAAAAGTCTTGAAACGAGCCGTTCACTCCTCGGTCCATACAGTCTACACGTGGAAAGTAAGCTGTGAAAACAGGCCATTTTTGAATTAACCAGGGTTGTGATGTCACAACCATGAACACGTCTGTCCTTTTAGTCCATAGCAGTTCAGCCTGGCCTCCTTAGTGTTGCTCATTCACCTTTTCTGGCCGAAGTGCTGGGACATCAGGAAGAATGGCAATGTTAGATTAGCTTTAGTTAGCGTCATCGCTACGGCTGCAAAGTCTCCCGAAAAAGTTTTCATTACAGATGCAGCTTCTTCATCACTGCCTTTTCTGGTGGACTCTCCTGGCTGGGTTGGATGGCAGTGTTGGATTAGCTTTGGTTAGTGACGTTACAACAGCTGCAAAGGGTCGAGGACAAATTATCGCTACAGGTGCAGAGTACCTCCTCCTCCTCATGATGTGATTCATTTCTCGTTTTTGTGAAGAAACTGGTGAACTGGTTGCCAGCTTCTCTTTTGAATTTCTTTCTTTGATTTTCTTTCTGTTTTTGGGAGCTGCTGAGATACTAGAGTTTCACGCTTAAAGATAAGCAACAAAAACAGCCATGGCTGTGATGTCACAACCACAAACACATCTGAATGTGACCACAAGTCTGTAGCAGTTTAGCCTGGTCATATCAGTGTTGGTCAGTCACCTTTTCTGACCAAAGTGCTGGGTCGTCAGGAAGAATTAGCTTTGATTAGCGTCTTTGCTATGGCTGCAAAGTCTCTGGAAAAAGTTATCACTGCAGGTGCAGCTTCTTCGTCAAAGAACCTTGTACCTCCTCCTCATGAGTGGTTTCATGTCTCGTTCTTGTGAAGAAACTGGTGAACCGGTTTCCAGCTTCCTGTTCTCAGTTTGCTTTCTTTAATGTAATCTCTGCTTCGGGCCGCTGCTGAGATACAAGAGTTTCATGCTTTTTTGAGATGAAAGAGTTTGACGGTTAAAGTATCAAGACGAGCCATTCACTCCTCAGTCAAGTATGGAATGTACGCTGCAAAAAAAGGCAGTTTTGAATTCACCAAGGTTGTGATGTCACAACCATGAATAGTTGCATATGATTACTCTTTCAGTCTATAGCAGTTTAGCCTGGTCAAGTTGTAGGTCAGTCAACTTTTCTGGCCATATTAGATTAGCTTTGGTTAGCGTCATTGCTATGGCTGCAAAGGCTCTGGAAAAAGTTTCTGAATTAAAAAAAAGGATTTTGAATATATATTCCCAGTACTTATATTCCATTACCTCCCAACCCTGCAACCTTCAGTCTGAAGGACTGAAATGAAGCACTTCACGCAGTAAATGTAGTTTACAGGAAAGATGCAACAAAACTTGAAATGGTTTGTTAGTCTGTATGATTTATTACATTACAACAGCTAATCCCATGGTAGTTTTATGTTATACAGGAATGTGATCTATAACTAAAAGTTAAGCTAAGTAAGTAGTGCGCTAGCTAGCATGCTTGCTCTCCAGACTTCATGCTAGCCAACTGTTTCTGTTTATTTTGCTTCTTTCCCACAAACACCACATTTACTGCATGTAGTTCTTCAGTTTTGTCCTTCAGACTGAAAGTTTTGCCTTAATGAAAAGTGCATGATATGAAGCCATATTGAACCTGAAGCTCAAGATGTGGAAGAAAGGCAGTGCGGTAATGACTGAGCCCAACTGTAGCAAAACTGACCAGAAAAGTCACATGTAAGGCTGGAATGTTGGAATTATTTACCAAGGTGAGCACGATCCTATTCTAGAGTTCAGGTCGCAAGTCAGTTAATAGTGTGTAAGATTTAGCAGCATCTAGTGGTGAGTTTGCACATTACAACGGACTGAATTCCCCTCCCTCATCCCTCCCTTTCCAAGTGTGTAGTAGAACCTATGGTGGCCATCATATTTTCACTTCTTTGACAATGAGGATTCACCCTCCCTTCTTTTGTGCTAAATAATAAGTATGATCTGACACAAAATGGTCAGGAAACACCGACAGCAACCACTGATTCTTCTTCTTTGTATGTCTTCTTACTGGTGCTTTAGCACCACCAAATTTAAGCCGCCGCTTAAACGTAAAATGCGAAAGGCACCCTCTAGAATCAGTGTTTGGTTTGTCCGGTTTGGTCATTTCAGTGCAACATGGTGGCCTCTGTTGGATGAGGACCTGCTCCCTCTGTAGATATGAAGGGCTCATTCTAAGCTAACGAAACACAATAATTCATAGTTGCAGGTGATTATACACTAATAAAAAAACACGTTTTTGTATACTATATTCAATTTCTGCTAATAGATCCCCCTAAATCTTACACATTGCACCTTTAAAGGCCAGTCCGAGGCGACTTTAGTACAGCTCAAATCCCCATCTCTGCTGTAAGTTTGTAAAATTAAAAGACAGATACACACAAAAAAAGCATAAAGTAGAATATTGGTGGACACTGAACAAAATCTCCAAAGCTTTCTCCTTTCTCGTCGTCTCAAGCTGTGGCAGAAAGTAAATGGTCAATGGAAAATAAAATGGAAATCCTGAGACGTAAATGAATTTGAGGCTGACTGGCAGTTGCACAGCCTCCAAGGAGCCGAGACTATGAAACTTGTATAACTTTTGATGAAAATCCTCCTGTTTGCACCATTATTGCTGGGGTGTATTGGGCTTAGCGTCGGTTGTTTGTGTCTCGGTGCAGACGGGGCTTCTTCTCGCGCCGTAGCTTTCTTGATTGCATTAGAGGTTCACATGGAAGTTATTACACATTGATAAGCGAATCATATGAGGTCAACAAGAGATCGATCGCTAATTACCGCGTCATCGTGAAGGGCAGAGTCTCTCCCCCTCTCCCTCTCTCCGTTTCTCACATTCACTCGGCAATCGAGTGGGGAAAAATCGAGGCCTGCCTCTCAAGAGAACCCAAACTGCATTACCTGGTGCTCGCATATGAGGAAAAATACCCTCACTCAGTTCCTAACCAGCACCCAGTACTGGCTTAAAACAGCACAAAATCAACCTTGAAAGGATGCAGCTGCCTCCATTTGTCTTCATTGCACTTGACAGGTAATCTATTAGTCCTGATAATGTGCTCTGCCATATTGTGGAACCGGGCGTCCACGCCACCGGCCCTTAGCTTATGACACCAGATAAGTCCTTATGACAACACGGCCAGGCCGGCCAGGAGGGCCATTCCCTTTGAACGAGAATAAAGAAAGCTCCAAGAGTGGACGTCCACTGAGCAGAGCAGGCTGACATTGCCTCGAAGCAGCAGCACCAACTCTCAGAT